CCCCTCCAGGGGTGAGTGTCCCCACTGATGACTCTCCGGCGGCTGATCTGGCTCACTGCACTCCGGCAAAATGAAGGGAATCCCCGCACTCCGGCTGCCGCAACCTGGACAGCAGAAGGGGTTCCCTCTGACATGCTGCACCCCCTGAGCTGCAACCTGGACAGGAGAAGGGGGTCCCCTCTGACATGCTGCACCCCGTGCGCTGCAACCTGGACAGGAGAAGGGGTCCCCTCTGACATGCTGCGCCCCCTGCGCTGCAACCTGGACAGCAGAAGGGGTCCCCTCTGACATGCTGCGCCCCCTGCGCTGCAACCTGGACAGCAGAAGGGGTCCCCTCTGACATGCTGCACCCCCTGCACCCCATCCAGTCATGACCCGGCTGACCAGACCCCCTTTACTTTCTCCTTCCCGTTGCCGTGTTATAGACCCGTATTTGTTCTTCTGCACAATGTCGCTCCATCCGCCGTACGTGACGCCGGCCTGGTACACACTCTGTACACGGCACGCACCTCGGGCGCCGCAGATCACCACCTGCCCTCATTAAACTCATTAGATGTCATCATTCCTCGTCTGCTCCGTGTCTTATCTCTTCCCCCTCACTCCAATTAACACATCCGTATCCACAAATCAGGTCACGGCCAATCACACGACTCCGCGGCCGACCGTCATCATCACCCGTTTATTGCTCCATGCACTTCATCCACGTCCTGCGCTGACGTCTCCGCAAACAGCCACCACCAGGAAACCGCGGCTATATAGTATACAGGGCCGAGCGGAAACCCAGGAACGGCTCTGACATATACCGTAGTGCTGTACAGAGAACACTGGGCATCAGTCCCTGCACCAGAAGAGCTTACACTCTAGTGATAATAAAGATCTATGTAGAGGGATCAGATGGAACACTCATATTTACATTTAGAGACAGTGTACTCTGCAACAATAGGGAGTGGATCGGTGATATGGTGAGGAGGATCCCGGTCACAGTGGCGTTCCCTCGGAGCCTGGTACATGATCCGGTGCTAACCAGAGACGGCTCCAAAGTTCCCCCAGGGCAGCGGGTCGCCATGGAAACCGTCCGTCCTGACCCCATGAATTGTCCTCTCCGGGCCCATTCTGGGATTATAATGCTCTTTTGTCTTTCCCGGGAGTGTCCGAGTGTAACACAATCCTCTATTATCTACACGTATCGGGGAGCGTTCTCTGACTGCTGCAAACCCCACAAGGGGGACGGGTGCGGCGTGGAGGCCGAGGAACCCCATTGTTCTCCTGGGTGCAGTTATAGATGAGACGTCCGTATCTGTGTATCATGTTCTGAGTCAGTGATACAAAGTAATGAAGTCAGAGGATCAACATGATAGACCCGCATCTGAAATATTCACCAATGACCTGGTCTGTACCCCCGCTGTGCCCATTATAAGGGGCCCCCACCATCCCTGTGCTGAATTCCCGGGTCTGTACCCCCGCTGTGCCCATTATGAGGGGCCCCCACCATCCCTGTGCTGAGTTCCCGGGTCTGTACACCCGCTGTGCCCATTATGAGGAGCCCCCACCATCCCTGTGCTGAGTTCCCGGGTCTGTACACCCGCTGTGCCCATTATGAGGAGCCCCCACCATCCCTGTGCTGAGTTCCCGGGTCTGTACACCCGCTGTGCCCATTATGAGGAGCCCCCACCATCCCTGTGCTGAGTTCCCGGGTCTGTACACCCGCTGTGCCCATTATGAGGAGCCCCCACCATCCCTGTGCTGAGTTCCCGGGTCTGTACACCCGCTGTGCCCATTATGAGGAGCCCCCACCATCCCTGTGCTGAGTTCCCGGGTCTGTACACCCGCTGTGCCCATTATGAGGAGCCCCCACCATCCCTGTGCTGAGTTCCCGGGTCTGTACACCCGCTGTGCCCATTATGAGGAGCCCCCACCATCCCTGTGCTGAGTTCCCGGGTCTGTACACCCGCTGTGCCCATTATGAGGAGCCCCCACCATCCCTGTGCTGAGTTCCCGGGTCTGTACACCCGCTGTGCCCATTATGAGGAGCCCCCACCATCCCTGTGCTGAGTTCCCGGGTCTGTACACCCGCTGTGCCCATTATGAGGAGCCCCCACCATCCCTGTGCTGAGTTCCCGGGTCTGTACACCCGCTGTGCCCATTATGAGGAGCCCCCACCATCCCTGTGCTGAGTTCCCGGGTCTGTACACCCGCTGTGCCCATTATGAGGAGCCCCCACCATCCCTGTGCTGAGTTCCCGGGTCTGTACACCCGCTGTGCCCATTATGAGGAGCCCCCACCATCCCTGTGCTGAGTTCCCGGGTCTGTACACCCGCTGTGCCCATTATGAGGAGCCCCCACCATCCCTGTGCTGAGTTCCCGGGTCTGTACACCCGTGGTGCCCATTATGAGGGGCCCCCACCATCCCTGTGCTGAGATCCCGGGTCTGTACACCTGCTGTGCCCATTATGAGGGGTATGGAGTAGGTCTTGTCCTGTAAGGTTCAGTCTTTGAGGCGTTTGAAGCCAGGGGATGCCCCTCCCCTCTGATGTTGGTCATGCTCCTCCTCTCTGATCTTCTTCTCCTCTTTGCAGTTGATATTCGGGAGATAAAGGAGATCCGGCCGGGGAAGAATTCGCGGGACTTTGAGCGGTTCCCCGAGGACGCCCGCAAGGTTGACTCCACCCTCTGCTTCATCATCCTGTACGGAGCCGACTTCAGACTGAAGACCCTCAGCGTGGCCGGTAAGTGACCTCCTCTATGGTCATGGGGTGACTCCTCCCTCCCTTCCTCTATGGTCACGGAGTGACTCCTCCCTCCCTTCCTCTATGGTCATGGGGTGACTCCTCCCCCATCCACTATGGTCATGGGGTGACTCCTCCCCCTTCCTCTATGGTCATGAGGTGACTCCTCCCCCTTCCTCTATGGTCATGGGGTGACTCCTCCCTCCCTTCCTCTATGGTCATGGGGTGACTCGTCCCTCCCTTCCTCTATTGTCATGGGGTGACCCCTCCCTTCCTTCCTCTATGGTCATGGGGTGACTCCTCCCTCCCTTCCTCTATGGTCATTGGGGTGACTCCTCCCTCCCTTCCTCTATGGTCATAGGGTGACTCCTCCCTCCCTTCCTCTATGGTCATGGGATGACTCCTCCCCCTTCCTCTATGGTCATGGGGTGACTCCTACTTTCCTCTATGGTCATGGGGTGACTCCTCCCTCCCTGCCTTCCTCTATGGTCATGGGGTGACTCCTCCCTCCCTTCATCTATGGTCATGTGGTGACTCCTCCCTCCTTTCCTCTGGTCATGGGGTAACTCCTCCCTCCCTTCCTCTATGGTCATGTGGTGACTCCTCCCTCCTTTCCTCTGGTCATGGGGTAACTCCTCCCTCCCTTCCTCAATGGTCATGGGGAGTTTCCTCCCTGCCTTCCTCTATGGTCATGGGGTGACTCCTCCCTCCCTTCCTCTATGGTCATGGGGTGCCTCCTCCCTCCCTTCCTTTATGGTCATGGGGTGACTCCTCCCTCCTTTCCTCTATGGTCATGGGACGACTCCTCCCACCCCCAGCAGGGCTGTCATGCTCATCCAGCAGTTTCTATACTTGAAGCCATAGACGACCTGACACCAGATTGCTGACATACTCCGGACTTCAGATGTTTGGCTTTAGGTGGAGCGGGGAAGAGTTATGACTTCCGGCTGTGACCCCACTAGGGAGATTTGAGTGCACTTCCTGTCCCTGTGACACCCATACAGGAAATTAGGTCAGATCGTGTTAGAGGTAAAAGCGAGCGGCAGCCAGGTGACCAGCATTTTCAGGATGGCGACCAAGCCCAAACTCCTCCCTCCCTTCCTCTATGGTCATGTGGTGACTCCTCCCTCCTTTCCTCTGGTCATGGGGTAACTCCTCCCTCCCTTCCTCTATGGTCATGTGGTGACTCCTCCCTCCTTTCCTCTGGTCATGGGGTAACTCCTCCCTCCCTTCCTCAATGGTCATGGGGTGTTTCCTCCCTGCCTTCCTCTATGGTCATGGGGTGACTCCTCCCTCCCTTCCTCTATGGTCATGGGGTGACTCCTCCCTCCCTTCCTTTATGGTCATGGGGTGACTCCTCCCTCCTTTCCTCTATGGTCATGGGACGACTCCTCCCACCCCCAGCAGGGCTGTCATGCTCATCCAGCAGTTTCTATACTTGAAGCCATAGACGACCTGACACCAGATTGCTGACATACTCCGGACTTCAGATGTTTGGCTTTAGGTGGAGCGGGGAAGAGTTATGACTTCCGGCTGTGACCCCACTAGGGAGATTTGAGTGCACTTCCTGTCCCTGTGACACCCATACAGGAAATTAGGTCAGATCGTGTTAGAGGTAAAAGCGAGCGGCAGCCAGGTGACCAGCATTTTCAGGATGGCGACCAAGCCCACCATGACAGGTTCCCTTTATATTGGACTTGGAATTGCTACACAAGTGTTACATTGTTGCGGAGCAGGCTGTCAGCGCGGGGGCGGGGCTGACCACGCCGAGTTATATTCGGCGGGTTGTGGCCGGCGTGTGGGCGCTGCGTTCACCGCTGTGAGCTCATCCCGGGCGGTCAGGTGACCAGAAGTTTGTGACGGGAAATATAAATTCTATTTCTGGTGAGTCACAAAAGTCCTCCATCCGAATCTGTGAAGGTGATCACATGACCCGTCCCGTATCCCAAAAATAAGAGGATTATCCCCCATCTCAGGAGAGTGGGCGGGGCCATGCAAATCATAACCTTCACGTCGCAACAGACAGATTCACATCCACATCCACTGGCTCCGCCCACTGCCACCATTACCACAGAGACAGTGTAAGGGCAAATCCAACATTTGAGTTGTCAGCGGAACAGGAACAGAGGAGAAATCTTCCTGTTCCCATGGAAACTAAGAGGGGTTTCCTTTACTTTGGAGCAATTTCTGCTTACTTCCTGTCGTGTCTACAGAACAGGAAGTGATGGGAAATCTCTGCAACAGAACACAGATGGCAAAAAACCTGACATGGGGTTGTCACCCTGCACACGTGCGCCCCTCTTAGTTGCAGCTCCCCGGCCTTCCTCTAGGGCATCCGCCGTCAGCCCCGAGCTGCCCGCTGCAGGGCCCCCGGCCTCCTCCACCTCTGCTACCGCGGCTGCTGGGCCCAAAAATTAGAAAAACTGTTTCCCTAAAATTCAGATACATACCTGGCATGGTAGTCCCAATAGTCATTGTTGTTCCAAAGTACATGATCCAATTGTATATGATTAAATAAAAAATATTAAATAAATTACATGATTGTCCCGATAACCCCAACGCGTTTCGCACAATTAGCTTCTTCAGGGGACCGGTATTTCAATATTCATGCATCAGCAATGACTGAGATAAAAAAACGAATATGAGGAGGGGCGAGATGATCAGGTGGCTAGAGCCCAGCCAATCACCCCACTCCATCTGTTTTTCTGCCTGGGACCCCGGGGCATCAGGGGGAAGAACGCCTGGGAAACGTCACGAAGGCCCCGCCTGCCCCGCTGGGATGTCTCTGCAGAAGGCATACACTAGGAAGTAGCCTCGGTCCGATAGCGTAGTGATCCTAATCTCTCAACCTATAGGAGAGGATAGGATGTTTATGTGAATTGTATTTATGGGCCAGGTTTCCTACATATCTCCACATTTCACCTAGTCGTATTTGTATCGATTTGTATATTTGCATAACTTACATATTTGTTTTTGTGAGTCAATGTGGTCCCCATCAAATGTTGAGTGTGTTCCGATAAGAAAGCCCCTGTATCTAATCAAATACATGTGTTGACTTGCCATAGTAATATTAGTGCATGTGAGTGGATCCTTAAGAATAGAGTCTACCGTGATACAGGATTGTAGTTCATATGTGTATGTGTACAAATAAAGTCAATGTTAGTGATAGAACTAAGTGTATTACAAGTGTAACAAGAATTGTGAATGTAATCTGTGTGTATATTCTTGAGTCAGGTGGTATAAAGTTTCATGTGCGTACCAGATCTCCAGTCTCCCTACTATCATCCGTAGTGTTTACGCAATGATGCTGATAGATATCTTGTTTACACAGAGGCTCCTCCCCCATTCATTCAGAAAATATTTTACTATCGAGCAGTTTCTGAATGGGGAGGAGCCTCTGTACAGAGTGTTTCTCCCCATTGAGAAACGTATGAATGAACAGGAAGTGATGTAAATCGCATCCTGTTCATTCATTTATAACTGGGGACACCTAGTACTTTGTGTCCCCGGTTATTTACAAACACCGGAGTGATCAGCCGATCGCTCCAGTGTTTGTCCCGCACAGAGGATTGGTACATACTGGTGACATGTACCGATCCTCTGCCGCTCGTCCACGCACAGGGGGGCTGCCTGCAACTTCTCTGGATCTCCCTGCTCTCCCGGGCAGAGGCAGCGGGGGATCCGACGAGAAGTGAAAGAGCACTTCAGCTGCGGGGGGGGGCAGAGCCGCTGTGACAGAACTAAGGACGAGCATTGAGGGGAGAGCGCCGGCTGTCAGATCCTGGCCGAGCGTCTCTCTCTCTCTCTCTCTCTCCCCTCACCGCTCTGCATTAGTTCTGTGACAGCGGCTCCGTCCTCCCCCGCCGCCGGTTCCTTCATTTCTTCTCCGAACCCCGCTGTGGAGAGCAGCGGGGATCCAGAGAAGCGGCGGGAGGAGAGGACATGGCGATCTACCAGTGATCGCTACGCGATCGACCTTGTGGGCACCCCCTGGTCTAAATCATATATATGTGTAAAGAACTGAGAATAAAGAATATATAAATATTATCGTAGTGTGTGGCCACCTAGCATCATGTGCTGGCCTCTCATGACCCCCAAGTGTGTCTCTATCCCACTCAACCACTACAAAAGAAAAGAAACACCCCCCC